AGGCACATAACACCATGACTTGCTTTAAAACATCTTTCAACTGAGTAAATTGGAGTAAAGGTGTAGGAGTTTTTCAAAATTTTCACTCCATTAGTGTCATTTTCGCCTTACTGTGTGAAGAGCTTGTTACTGCTCTCTAGCCAGTGACTGGAGTTTAGAGTGTCATAAGATGTTTGTTGTATGCTTTTCTGTGTGGTTTTTGAAGGTGGCTGCTATTTTCTAGGGTGGTTCTTTTAAGAGGAACTGCCTTTCTTTGTGAGCTGTGTAATTCCTTTGCTAAATCAAACTGTCTCTGATTATGACAGCTTTGAAGTATGGCATTTCCTAGTGGTCAACTGCTGTGCTGAATTTCTTAATCTCTTACTCAGGTCTGTCATTGTACTGTTACGGTTTGTGGCTGTCCTTCTTTACACGTTGCAGTCTTTGGCAGTGATACTGTTCAGTTTAACCTCAGAGTTCTAACGAGCGTACATGCCTGGCAGAGGCAAGTTGCTTGTTAATTGAGTCTATCACGGTCTGGCCCCATCTGCCTTTGCACAAATACTCCCTGTACTCAAGCCAGTCTCGGCTCCATCCTCAAATGTCGCATTCATGCACACTAAATGCTTATGCAGTTTTGTAGCTAAAATTCAGCCTTGGTCACCCCAGTTACTCTAATCTCCAAGGTTCCTTTCAGGGCAAAGATTGTTCCCTATGTCTCTTTTCTGTAGTTGTTTTTGTTTTGTTGTGTTGTTTTGCAGTACTAGGAATTGAACTCAGGGGCATTCTATCACTGAGGTACATCCTCATCCTTTTTTACTTTGAGATGGGGTTGTGATTCTCCTGCTTCAGCTTCCTGAATAATTGGGAGTATAAGCATGTACCATTGTGCCCAATGATAACTGCATTTGAATCTAACATTCTTGATTTATTGGCTTAAAAACTGAGTCCAGTCTGGGCATGGTGGTGCATGCCTGTGATCCCAGTACTCAGGAGGCTGAGGCAGGAGGATCACTGAGCCAGGAGTCTGAGGCCAGCCTGGGCTATGTAGTGAAACCTTGTCTCAAAAAGACAAAAACAAAACAAAAAAAACTGAGTGAAGTGACTTGTTATGTTTGTGATTAATAACAGACCTAAGATTAAAATTCCTTTAGGTGAGGGTGGGTTCAAGAAGTCCTAGTCTGAATCTTAATTTGCATCGTTCCTAGCTCCTAATCCCTCTGTATTCTGTTGTCTTCTCTGAATTCTGATGGAATTTATCTTCAGGATGCAGATTGACCCTGACTTGTCTAGTTCTGTACATGTTTTATTTGTGGGCAACTTATCTTACTGAGAGACAAGACAAAGATGTGTATCTTGTTACACACACCCCCTGATTTGTTTAATAGTCTGTTGCTTAGCTAGCCAAATTTGGGTAACTGCTTTAAGTGTGGTATTGCCAGTGCTGTCCTTAGCTCAATATTACACTTCTTTAGAGTGAATTGGTGAACAGAGTTGGTACCATTGGATTAGCTCTTTAGACCTCACTGACTTTCAGTCTGTAGCCAGCAAATCTGATAATTGTGCAGATTATTATAAATACAAGCTTGAGTCAGATTCCAGTACTACAAAAGCCAAACCAACATAAAGAGAAAAAATCTGTCCTCTGTAAGTTAAAAACAAAAGGGAAACAATCCATTTATTTCCCTGTAGTTTGTTAAATGCTTACAGTGAGAGGGCCTGTGTAAAAATGAAAATTGACTTTAAGCAAATTAATTTTAATAAGTTTAGGGAATTATTGGTCCATAAATTGTATACAGGCTTGAATCTTTTATGTTGATAAAAATATAACTTGATAAATTACATCACCAACTGGGTCTAATAGCATGCTAAGGATCAACTTTTTGTAATGCATTTCTGTTTTTTTCTTTTTGAGACAGAGTCTCTCTATGCAGTTCAGGCTGGCTTTGAGCTCGCTTTGTAGCCCAGGCTGATCTCAAACTTGAGATGATCCTCCTGCCTCAGCCTCCCGAGTACTGGGATTACAGGTGTGTACCGCTGTACCTAGTTTGTAATGCATTTCTGGAGTAACTGGGTGATGTGACGTTACATTTTAACATTTCTTTGAAAATAAAAGCATTTAGCTGGGTATGGTGGTGCATGCCTGTGATTGCAGTGGGAGGCTGAGGCAGAAGGATCCCTGGACTTTCAAGGCCAGCCTGGGCTACGTAACGCTGTCTCAGACAAACAAAAGAATAATTTTGTCAGTTTTAAATTTTAGTTCAGAGAAAGTTAATGTGTCTGATCATGTTTAATTAATTAATTTATTTTTTGAGACAGTGTCTTGCAGTGTAGCTCAGGCTGACCTTGGATTCACTATGTAGCCCAGGCAAGGCTCAAACTCACAATGATTCTTCTGCTTCAGCCACCAGAGTGGTTGGATTACCGGTGTGCACCATCTTGCCTGGCAATGTGTCTGATAATTTGTCCAATAATAAAAAAGCAAATAGATTAGCTTGAGCTACCTGACCTCTATAAAGGAGTAGATATAGCAAAAATGCATCCAAGAT